AACAGGTCGATAATTCAAAATTGTTGCATGTATTAATGATATCATACTCAATGTTACATTCACATGGTTAGACAAAAGATTTACGTAACTGTTCTCAGCCTTGAGCAAGCTTTATATTAAACATGCAAGTAGGGTGTTACATAATGTTTAAAATAGGCTGTTACGTAATGTGTTTTAATGGCCACTAATTTATACACTGATACACTGCTATTAATAGGGTATCTAGCTACATGTTTCATGCTTCTTTTTTTAATTCACTGCCTGTCAGAAAACATTGGGAAATTCCTCTAATTCCATATAGCAGTATATAAAGAGAAAAAAAACATTTGAAAATAAAAATCTATATAAATCCAAACACCAATTCAAATTTGCTACCACCTTTATTGCCACAGGGTAGCTTTAATGGCATTTTACAACCGTGTAGATTACATACAGTACAGGTGAGTCATAGCCATTCTGCTGCGCTATATTAGTTCATTCAGTTGACCCATTCAAAGGTTCTGAGTAGGCGATCAGTTTTAAGGCTTCCATTGTCAATGAAGCATAAGCAATACTCATAATGTCAAGTTGGCTATTTGTAGAGTATTAATAATGCGTGCACATTTACATGTGAACACTTTATAATTATATATCAGCGTGGGAGAACACTGAATGCGTTGAAACTATGATATTGATGTAAATGTTAAAGCAATTTAGGACTTTTGTTCTATTAAGATGCGTATCTCCAATTGAAGTGAATGTAAGCCAACACTTGTGTACATGTATATTGTAAACTGGATTATTAAAATATGATATATTCTCACCACACACGTACATATATTGTTTGCCTAAGCGGATACGCTTTTAATGGAGCAAATACGATATTATGTAAACTTGTATGCAATATGCTGGCCAGCATTTACGGAACTGTGGCAATGAATATTACGATGATGTTACCAAAAATGCTCAGTACATACAGTTGCAACACAAATAATAATAAATTCATTACTATGCTAACAAGCAATAACAGCCGAAAAATAACAAAACCAGCAAGCTACATCTATAATTGTTTTAGTGCCCGAGAAAAGCATTTCAAAAAATTACCAGCCCCTAAATAAATAAACTACATTGTATTTCTTTTTTTATATATATTCTTTTCTATTTTAGCGCTTCCATTTTGCTACGAAGTCAGTTTTTCGTCTTTATTGTAATTTTCTTTTTCTGAGTCAATATCCAAATAAGGATACAATTATGCATTAAAGATTATTATTATTATTATTATTATTATTATTATTATTATTATTACATACGACTATTCTGAGGAATTCAAATGTGAATCAAGTAGTTCAATGGTCCACCCTTGTTCAAACACCGCCGCACGACCATTATGACAACATACAGGTAATCATGTAATTTATCAAACAATGTAGTTACCGTAGTTTTTATATGATAATAGTCTTCATTCTAATATTATTTTCTTGGTTTAGAAACATGATGAACATGACTGATTCAAAATGCGGGCTTCTTGTTATCTACCAGGTAGTTTGTCCCTATCTGGCCACAACCATCGCATAAAAACAGAAGGGTCATATGTAGGGACGGTCACGAATACATGTATAAGGCCATGGATTGTCATTGCAGACTTTGAACTGTCTGTATTTTTCCAATGAATGCTCATGGCAAAAACAAAAAACAATAACAAAGCTTGCCATGTATTTTATACGCACAGGTTGTTAGCTTGGACTGCCAACATTGCTGAGAAGAACACAGATCATTAGTCACACATGACAGACTGTATCTACTGGCCATCTAAAGCTGTCAAGTGGAAAAGTATGGATTCCTGCATTAACAGATGTACATGGCAAGTGTTGTGTCACAACAAATGACACCATCATAGTGACGCACCTCTCTGTACAGGTATAACTCACGTATTTGCTCTATAAGAAGCGCATGTAAACCACCCAACGTACGTTACTAATATGACACTTATTTAGGCTAGATTACTCTGCACAAATGAGATATCTGCAGGTTTTAAAAACAAGCTAAGCCAGTTTAAATCTTGCTAAATGTTACACTAAATCTGTACTGTATGATAAGTTTACAGGGCAGCATTTTACCAGAGCCAAACTATTATCTCTCCTACCAATTAACAGATAATTATCTCTTATACATTTATAGGGGTGAGGCCAAATGTGGTTCGAAGTTTGACCCAGAACAGTGTTGTTGACTGAGGGGGGTCTCATTTAGATTGTCAGGCCATATCAGACTCAGTCCTATTGGTTTTTTGGGGGCTCGAACTGAATGTTCATTTCTGCTGTGACGAGCCCACTCAAGTCATTGGGCTTTGATAAAATGATGTCATGTAAACAAGGTCACAGACACATCTGTCAGATCTATGCAGGTGCCTAAAGTGCGAATACGATATACGGTACAAGATAAGAATTAACCTAATAGACCATATGACATTTGTATGACATGTAGGTATACCTCAAATGTTGTTGCTACATTTTGCCTACTTTTATATATTTTCCCACAATTTTTCGATAGTTTTGAACTAAACAAACATAATTTTCTATTTTTGATCAACATTTTAAAAATAATACAAAAAAAAACTTATTTTTATTTTGTGAATAATGACAAAAGTTGATTTTTGTAAATGTTAATAAAGTTAATAACATGGATATGTTTACAATTTTGTTTTGGTATCAGCTTGGTTTGTTTGTTACTGCTGAAAAGGCATTAATCCCACTTAAATTCAATTTTCACTATTTTCAGCTCTATTCACTGGATTTTAAATTCATGGATTTATCTGCCAATAAGACAGTGAGTTCTATTTGACATGTTCGTTTGCATTCAATTTAGCCGATTTAACTTATAAGCAGAAACTGCAAAACTAAAACTCTGTGAATAAGCAATGAGTGCACAGTGTACTTTTTACCATTGAATGTACGGTTGAATATTTCAGAGAAAAGTTTAGGTATGATGCATTGTGGGAGTTAGAAACGCAGCTTCTTTGCATGTGCAGTGCTTCATCACTAAAATTTTATTAACTCACACACATAATTTTGTATGTATTCCTTCAATTAGTTTAAAGAGGCTAATCACAGATGCCCACAATTCATGGAAAAAAATTAAATCGCTTACTTCCTCTTTAATTTTTCAAACCTTGTTTGATCACCAACCAATCTGGATCCTTGGTACATAGATAGATAAGATGAAACCATATAGAAATGATGACATTTCTAGTTTGGTACATAAAATAACAAAGTTGATTTTAAACAATACTAGAAAGATTCATTTTGATCATTGTAATCATGAGAATATTTTTTGTTTATTTACAATTTTTTGTTGTTTTTTGATTGAATTATTAGTTTGAATTGCTTGTTCTTTCCTGTTTCTTTAAAATTTGAGTTTATAACATCGATGACAATTAAAAAAAAACACAATGTTTCCCTTTGCTTTGTATATAAATTGAACTGACGTACTTTATTTGATTTACTTTATTTTACATACTTTATTTTCAATCATATAACAATGAAAGAGCTATAGTCCATCTGCCACTGGTGGGTTGGATCGTTTGTTGTGTACTCTCACAATTACCGTACTTGTATATATGGCAGCAGATTCTTAACTGCATCACTTACTTGATGTCATGTCTGTTGTGTCGTCTACAGTATTGCATTTCTTTACGTTTGAGGTATACATTTCTATAGAATTTATTAACATGCTGTATGTGTATAATTACCCACAAGTAGTTTGTAGGGAGCAGTCTGTCAAGGAAAACCTTTGAAGTTCCTTATGTGATGTGGTTATATGTGACCCAGTTTTGAAACAAAGTGAAACAGAATGCAAACAAAGCCTAACCACATATCAGATTTTAATCTGATTGAAACATTTGATTCTTGAGTTTACATACTGTTAAATTTTCTGACTAAATTTTGAGAGATTTACAGCCACTTCCTGCTCAGAGTACTGTAGGGAAATGTTCAATGATACAAAATTTCGTAATTTTTCCCCAGACTTCCCAAATTGGCAAAAGTAAATTTTGGGGTCATATTTGGGGCAATCTCCTTGAGCAACTATTCAGACTTTCCTCATCAACTTTATAGAAATACATACTGTAGGCTAAAATAATCATTAAAGAGTAAACCTTAAATTTCAAGAGAACACCAGGGTAATACACTGAAGTCAACTAAGGTATGTATTGTACGTTATAAATTATTCATAAACCTAAATATTTATAAACTCAGACAGCAGTTACACATTGTATGATGGAGCTTCGTTGAATGGAGATGTGTACTGACTGAGCCATTCCAATCCAATCAATTTTTATAAGGATATTCAAGTATAAACATGCCGTTGTCGCAGTATAAATGTTAGGTAGATTCAGTCAGTGATATTCTTTTTGAGGATTCAAATTGGGGGGGGGGGGGGGTAAATATTAGTCTTGCATTATTTTCAATAAATGTAAATATAATTCTATTGTAGATCATATTTATATCAGAACTACAATCTGAAACAACCACCAGACCTTGGTAGAATTATTCTACTACCGATAAAATCTGAAACTTGATAAAAATAAGAAACAAATTTATCCCTTGTTTCTTAAGTTGATTTTCTAAAACTAGTGATATTTACAAGTTGAACCCACAAATATTAATAATAATAAAATTAATAATAACAAATAATACCCTGGGGATACATGCGATTGTAAATTAACTAATGAAATCATGATTACGGTCTGATATACATAGAATATTTTAATTGTACGTGTAAACCAGACATGAGATAATATTCATCTAATTGGTCAATAATTAACAAAATGCCAATGTTGTCATTTCCAGAACGTCATACGGGCTGCGACATCGTGACGGGCCAGCTATTGCTCCTCAATCATTCTTGGCCAACCAACCACGAGCATTTAGCTCGATCCTCGGGGTTTATTTTCTTCATACTATATTATTCTAATTTTCGCAAACACTCAATCAACTAGCACGAGTCGTCAAAGGGAAAATACTCACATCTGCAAGTTTTGGGGGCACGCCTTCGCCAAGGACTTCTCGCACAAACATCTGCTTGTTCATATAGCCGGCCATGCTGGCAGTGCGCTTGAACGCCTCCTTGAGACGTTTCAACTCATCGTCGGTAACTGGAAAAAGTGTGAGAATGAAGTGAGTATAACTCAAGTACCGTTAATACATCCAGTGTTACTGAGACTGGGAATCGTACCAGCATTTATCAAAGTGATCACCTCACAACATACTCAGGCCGACTGATCGCCGCAAAGATAAGCTCCTTGTGGACAACTTACCTCTTTTGACAGCCTCCTCGTATGGTAAAACCGTAGCTTTCGATTCTTTACCCCCCATTTTCGCAAACTTGCCGACTTAATCAAGATTAGCCAGAAGATAACGATATAAAATTGTCAGTGAAGTTATGATAGTCGCAGAAAATTTAGTGTCGCCATCTTTGATGATAAGTCACATGACTTAAGTATAGAACCCCTAACTTATCATAAAACGTATTCTTATTTACCTCTCGTTTAAAGTTAGCTTACTCGCGGAATCCGTTATACGTGATCGACTGACTGTTTAATATTGTCTTTCAGAACATGTTACTTTGTTCTGATATCTCGCTATTGGGAACTTGATACTGAAAAAAGAACATCGAACGAATAAGTATTTTTTGTATTTATATCGACCTAGGTGGTCATAATAGGGTGACATGACACGGATAGGGAATAGTGCATTGCCGTCGTCAGGGAACTTCAAGTTGTGTTTTGTGTGGGAGGTTCCTGGTCAGGTTCAATGGAACCTCTATCCGTAGTAGAATGGGTAGACCACGGTCGTTGCGGGTATAGTGTAAATTGTTTTTGTTGCTAGATGGAACTAGCTTGTAGTTGTTTTTTTACCAGAAATGTTGGCAGGGGAGTTTGTGGTGTTATGTTTATTGAGTTCTTATGATAGAATTCACGGATCAAGTACGGAAATTCGAGGAAATTTGCATTGTATCTGCATAACAATGGCTTGAATAGAAATAAAAATACAATATTCACTCTTCACTAGTTTAGTCGGTGTTTTAATGTGTTAAAAACCATTGTTCTCTTCCCTTTTGCAAAGTAACATTCTATTTTTATTTTCCGATTCGTCGCCAGCAAAACCACAACATCGGAAAATTGAGTAATATAAGACAAAGGCTGGAACCGAGATAATTTATTCAGGATCTAACAACCTTTGAGCTCCAACATGTTTCCCCATTCTCGCCCAGAATGTTTGTTAACGCAGTGGTATAAAAAAGATGACGCAGAATTTCATTCGGTCCCTTACAAAATATGCACGAAGGGATAGTATTTTTTGTTTTTGTTTTCAACAATACAAGTGAATGTTCAATTTGTAAATATATATATCCGACGACCTATTACATATGTTTTTAGAATCTCCACGGCTCAATTCACTTCTCACATCTGTTTTTAACCTAGCAAAAGCAATCGCAAATACTGACGGTATAACGCCTGGCATGATTCTTGTTCGGCCCTCCTTATGAGAAAGCAAGGAAGTCTGACTGCCAGCTGATTAACTATATTTTTATCACTGCTAAGATTGTTATACATATTACTCATTTTAATAGTTTTACCATCGCGACACATTGTGACATTCTTGACATTTTTATGGAAAATCAAGAAGCGCATTTTACTTGAATTTCAATATGCAAAATTGTGTCATAAACTGGACACATTCGATATATTTTGGTGTAAAAATGACGTCTTATGTAAACTGGAGACCGAGGAATTGCGGTTTATTGCGGGCACTGCTAATTTCATATC